TTAACAAATGTTAACAATGTGTTAAAGTGTTAACAATGTGTTATCAAATGTTATCAAAGGGGCGACTGTGGCTAAGTGGATAGCAGGGCCGTCCTTCAATCAGAGGGTCAGTGGTTCGATCCCCGTCTCCGGCTCTGCTAGTCGCATGTCGATGTGTCCTTGAGCAAGACACTTGACCCCAAAACTGCTCCCGTAGCTGTGCCTACGGTGTAGTGAATTGTAAGTCGCTTTGGATAAAAGTGTCTGCTATATGACTGTAATGAAATGTTAACAATGTGTTGTCAATGTGTTATTATTGTGTGGGTGTTCTTGGTGTTTATACGTCGGTGCTGCGGATCGGTTTACATTTAAAGAACAACGTGACAGAGAATAAGAACATGTCATGTGATTATAGAAACATCTGTCTCTCTACATTCATACACTGATCACTACTGTGTGATGAGAAAGGATTTAGCTGAAATCATACTGTTATAAATAAATAGAAGTTTTTATAGTTTATTAAACATCCTATCCCCTGATCATCGTACCTGTCCTTGTGATGGTGTCGAGGGCGGTTCCTCTATGTGGAGCAACACGTCAAACATCAGCTTCAGGTGAAGATCTCGTTGCTTTGCTCTGTTCTCACCAGTCACACATTCACTCAACTGACCAAACTACCAAAGTACTGCACATCAGATGTCTTTGAACGTTTTTACCATTTGAAACAGAAGAAACAGAGAAATCATCTTAAAACCAAAATCCACCAGTTAGGAGCTCTGGAGTCAGATCACAAGCCGAACGTGTGAAGATCACAAACACGTTCAAACACAATATTACGTTCATGGACAGAAAGTAAAGCAACGAGCTCCACGCTGCTCAGGGATCACTAGAGAAACACTCAGATCCTGACTGACTGAACATAAGCTTCATATTCATGCACACGATACAGACATGCAGCATGAAGCATCCAGGAGAAGAGGAGACACACAGACATACTCTGTGCTGAGAGTTACAGGAGACTAATAATAATAATAATAATAATAATAAGAGATAATTCTATTATTGTGTGTGTGGACAGAAAGCCCGGAGAATCTGCCGAGAACATTTCTGTTTCTATCGGTGCTGATTTTGTTTACGTGACTCCTACTAATGAGAGAGAGACCTATATGTATATATATATATATATACACATATATACATATATATGTGTATATATATGTATATATATATATATACACATATATACATATATATGGTATGTAGAACAATATGGAATACTGTCATAGAAAACATATACATAATGTATGTATTATATTGTAATAAATAGTTGAAATGAGCTCTTCATCATTAAAATGCTGTTTATATAAATGCATAAATATATATATATATATATATATATATAAATATATTAGTGCTGGGTAAGTTAACGCGTTATTATCGCATTAACGCAGTTTTTTATTTATTATTAAACGACTTTTTTAACACAAGAACCGGCAGCGAGCGGTGAACTGCTGTTTGTGTGGCGTCTCTTCCTGTTTCCTTCACCTACACTCCCCTGGGTCCTAAGTCCCTCCATGTACAGCTTCTTATCACCCTCTATGTACCAACGTACATTTATAACAAATACCACACATATTACGGTAATCAGCGTTGCATATGTGTCTGACCACAATACCACAAAAAAGCAAAAAAGAAATGATTCATTTAAATTATTGTTTTAGAGTTTTTAAAGTGTTTTGTGTGTAATATGTATAATAAGCATCATTTAGTATCACTACTGAGAATTTAACAAACATAAAAACATGACGTAGATAGTTTTTCAGTTTTCAAGAAGTATATTTAAATATCATCTCTTACACGCATGAAGATAAAGTTATGAACACCGGCTGAATATCTATGATCAGAATCATTATAACTGTGTTATAACTACTGCTGTGTAAAGGGAATACTGCTGCTAACAACAACCTGATGTGTTTAAAGTGTTTAAACCAAATGTTATTGACCTTTAGTTCATAGAGCAGCACTTTAAAATAAAAGTGCACAATACACTACTTTGGAATTCATTATTGGACTTTGCGCATAACAATGAGATTAATCACGATTAAACATTGTAATCGTTGCCCAGCACTAATATATATATATTATATACATATACGAGTACATTTACTTTTAGTACTTTCAGAACATTTTGATGCTGATACTTTTACTTGTAACGTAGTATTTAATTGTGTGGTATTACTACTTTTACTTTCTTCCACTGATCAAGATTCCCGACGTCTCATCAGGAAATAAAAAGTCCAACGTTGACATAAAGAGTTATTGAGCTGAATTAGCATATTTAGCAGAATGTCGAACTCTTCCTTTAACTTGAGGACACAAAGCTAATTTTACAAAACTTTTGTAAAAAGAAATAAGTGAGTCTGCCTGTCTCAGCTTACATGTATCAAACACAGGCATAACACATAAACACAGGCTTAATATTATAAAACACGACTACAGTAACAGCTCAGTATCATCGTGCAGTATTTATTCTCTTAAAGTCGAGTTATTTAAAGCCTGAGCTGTGGCTGCAAACACACAAACATGAAGCCGAAGCATCAGAAGACATCTCAGTAAACAGCTGGCAGCAGTGAACATGTGGACGCAGCGCGGCGGAGCAGCGTAGACCTTTGTGTCGCTGTGGCACAATCACCTGATTCAAGAGAAAAACAGTCTCCTTAAAAAGCGGCTCAAAAGCTCTTAGAACTATACACAGTTTGTACAATATACACAGTGTGAAGCAGGGACGTCTGCATCTCTTATAGAAATATAAAGCCTTCATACATCCTCCACATGATGCTCAATGGACCTTCAGCTCGACCCTCTCTGATTGTTCCCAACGTATAACGGACTTCTATTCTGCCAACAAGTGCTTTGCTTCTGTGTGTCTAGTGCAGGAGAACTCCGTCAACGACGTCCATCAGTGAACAAAGAGGACCTCAGCGTCCAGCTGAACGTGGACTCTTGAGACAGCGAGTCTCTGGACTAAGACATTCACACTGAGGAGTAGTTTGTAGTTGTTTTACGTCTCCGTCGTCATTGTTCTGCTCATTTTCTCTCTATTTGTCGACACTTTGTAGCTCTTTTGTGTCTCTTCAGTCATTTTGTATCTCTGGTTATTTTGTGGTTGTTCTTCATGTCTTTGTGGTCGCTTTACGTTTCTCTAGTCCGTTGTGTCTCTTTATTGCCGTTTTGCATCTCTATGATCGATGTTGTCTCTTTTCTGTGTCTCTTCAGTCATTGAAGCCGCTTTGTTTCTCATCTTATCTCTGTGCTTGTTTTGCATTTCTGATCTTCATTTGCGTCTCTTTGTGGTCGTCTCACATTATGTTGTTTTGCATCTTTTAGTCATTTTATGTCATTTTTTGTTGTGGTTTTGTGTATATGAAGTTGTTATGCATCTTATTCTAGTCGCTTTGTGTCTTTTGGTAGCTGTTTTGCATCTCGATGGTCATTTTGCATCTCATTGTAATCATTTACTGTGTTTTTGAGTCTCTTTGGGGCCATTTTGAATCTTTGTGGTTGTTTTGCATTTCTTATCTTTCTTGCGTCTTTGTGGTTGTTTTGTGTCTCTTTTAGTGTCGTTCTGCAGCAGAGCCCTTGGTAGGCCTGTTTTATACTTCAGCCATCCAGCTGAAGGGAACATTGTCACAGACAGAGGTCTGCCCAGTGATGAAGTGGTTCCCAAACCGATACAATAATTGTTTATGTTTAGGCCAAGTTTTCATTTTTACTACTGCAAGAAACTGGATGTTTCAAACGTCTTTATGTTTAGCTTGTCGTTGTCCTTCTTACTAAACTAGTCTTTCCTCAGTCTTGATCAACTTATAATCAACTGAATCGAAAGCAGAGAGTTCTTTCAGTCTTTGCAGGAAGAATATCAGAGTTGGCAAGTTTGTGACAATAACTATACCGAAGATCAGCAGAAGAACTGCAAAAGTACAAGTAGCCTGGTTGGGAATCAGTGGTTGAGGAGCGATGCTGCCTCACTTCCTCAGTATTAGTGTGTCAGTATCTTGCTGCAGCACTACACCACTGTGTTTGTCTGTTAGATGACGGGGTAGAACTCTGTGTTGACGTCAACGCTGTGCAGGACAGACTTTTGGTCACCGGCTGACATCCTGTTTAACACCTCAGCTGACAGAGAGTAACTGCTGCCAGACTTCTCCTCAAACCAGCTGTCCAACGCTCGCTTCCCATCAAAGTTGGCCATGGGCGGTCCGTTAACTGCCACAGTCAGCAGGTCGTTCATCTGCTCCAGTGTTAGCCGGGAGCGATTGTTCCTGCACATCTTCTGCAGAGACCCTCTGCCTTTATCGCAGCAGGCCGTGGAACTGGGCAGGACCCTGACAACCTGCACAATCCGATTCAGCAAAGGAAAGCGCTGCTTGTACCTGCAGATGTGACCGATGACCTCTTTAAAACCGTTCATACTGAAGTAGTCTGCTTTCAGATCCTTCCATTCACCCACCAGGTTACCCCTGGCCTCCGTCCTGGCCTGGGAGCCCTCCTGACCCCCACACGGAATGGAGTCCAGATGGTTGAATAGCACCTGGATTTCTTCCTCCCCGTAAGCTTGTAAATCCTCCCGATTATGGGGCCAGGTGGACAGGTCCAGGACCTTGCAGGCTTTGGCAAATGTGCGGCTCTGCAGGTCCAGCCTCTGAGATAGGATGCCCTGGCTCCTGTTGCAGATCTTTTCCCTGATGGACTGAAACTTAGACTCTGCAACTCGCAGGTTCTTCAGAGCAACGCCGTTAAAACTTTCACGGAAATTTTCTTCAAATTCCTGCAGATACTCTCCGGGGCAGTCCACCAACTGACCGATCTCCAGAATGGCCTCCTCTATCTTGGCTTCCACCTGTGACACCAGCAGGTACTCTCCCTGGAAGGTGAAGGCTAATCGTGAGAGAACAGCTATGATGTCCAGAAGGAAGTAGATGAGCTTCACTGACTGATAGTCCATGAGGAACTGGAGGAGGGTGAGGGCGATGGCCGCGGCGTCAGCCCTCTGCGTCTGGCTGCTGATCTCCTTCAGATGGGCGACTACCTCCAGGTAATCTTTGATGAGAGCGTTGAGGACATTTGGTTCTCCAATGATCCATCGAATGGCTCTAATGTCTCCAAGGAACTCTGTCTCCTCCGACAGTGTTGGAGCTGTGGATCGCAACTCGGCCATCATGCGAGGGGAGTAGCGGTAGAAACTGAGGAGCTGCTTGAGGTTGTTTTCCAGATCCTCCAGGCAGGAGAGCTCCTTCCCACTGATGGCATCCAACACCTCTAGATGGGGCCGATGGATCATGATAGGGAGGCAGAGGATCCAAGGGAAAGTCTTTTGTACAGCTATGTACAGGTTGGCTCTCATTCCTGAGGAGATGTTGGTGCCATCTACCCCCAGACCCACCACCAACAAGTCCTGAAACCTGAGGCCGAGGACACCAAAGGCTCGATCCATAGCCTGGAGATATCCGTCCACACTGGCCATGCTCAGTCTCTGCAAGGACAGGAACTCTGTGTTCGGGGAGCCCTCATTGGTAATGAACTGGACGTAGACCGCTACCATGTCTGAGAAAAGGTCGTCATTTTGGGCGTCCATTATGACACTTAGGAAGGGAGACAGGCGCATCTTCTCAGCCAGGTCTTCCTTTAAAGCCCGGGCGATGTGGTGCAGGAGGATCTGACAGTCTCCGTCATTCATGTATTGGTCCACCACTTTGAGCTCACACCTCTTCAGCAGCTCCGCCAGTGAACGGAGGTCGGAGAAGGGCCGTCCCTCCAGGGCCAAGTGGTATGCCGCGTTGAACAGCAGCGTCATGTTCTTGCACATCTCCTCTGTCTTTTCCGGATGCATGCGCAGCTTGTACAGCTGCAGACACTTCTTGTGGAGGTTGCTCTGGCTGTGGAGCTTGATGGTGTGGATCTTGAACTGCTTGGAGCCGATGATGAAGGCAGAGGTTCGGGATGACTGGACGGTGTACTGGCGGCAGACGTGGCACCACATCTCGTTGAGAGTTGGCGAGTAGCGGAGGAACCAGAACTTTTTCAGCCACTCCTGCTTGAAGCGACGAATCCGTCGGCCTCCTCCCGAGGAAAGCTTCAACGAGTCTTCTGGAGAAATCACAAGATCTGCAGCAATCGAGTCATCAGCCGAGTCCACGTCTGGGTCGTCTTCATCTAAAACCACCTGAGTGGGCATCAAGGGCTCCATCACTGCAAAGAAAAACAGATTCAACTTCTGATACGAGGTTTACGTTCACACCACGCAATGTAAAGGACCATGTAAGATATTATTTTAGCCATGCTAGTAGGACGACTCTGTGGATGTTCATGTAGTGCTGGGTGGTATGACCAAAAATGCATATCACGGTATTTTGTAAGATTCTGGCGGTTTCACGGTACATCACGGTATTTTTTTTTTCCGCGTTAACGCATTAATTAATTAATGCTGAAAACTAACACAAGAACCGCCAACCGGCCAACGAGCGGTGAACAGCTGTTTGTGTGGCGTGTCTTCTGTCACTTCCTGTTTCCTTCACCTACATTCCCCTGGGTCCTAAATCCCTCCTTGTACAGCTTCTTATCACCCTCTATGAAATACGACGTTTGCAAACAGTGGTTGCACAACTCCCAGTCATCCCTGATGAAGTAAGACATACCTTGGATCCAGTGTTTTAATCATTGCTCTGTACCCGTCTGTAGCGGGACCATGTCCTTGCAGAGCTGGATCGTTATTGTGTCCATAATGTCACGCCACCGCTTGCTTTTTTTGCCATAAGCATTGCCTCGAGCAAGTGCCTCTTGAACCGATGTCTGACCCTTTGGCTTCACTGTTTCACTCGCACTGACATTACTGGTTGACGGCCTCGAATCTGAGGACCGTAATCGCATACACTCTTCGTGTTCCAACACATGTTTTCGGCTGAGGTGATGGATTGCTAGTGTTGCCACCAGAGGCAATAACAGCGGCTCAACAAACTTTACAATATATCGTCTTTTGATCTACGTCGGATTTTTTTAAACCACAAAACCTCCAAAAAGCAGACGCAGCTTCTCTCTTGGGCACACATTGTATCGGTGCATCTCCGGTCTCTCACTGGTCCTCCTGCATCGCTCTGTTCTGTTCTTTAATGTAGTGACGGAGCTTCTTCTAGCTGTTCTAGCTGTACCCAGCATGCAGTCCGGCGGGGTAATTTTATAAATGTACAATTATTATTAGTGTTACTAATTGTTTATGTATCACAAACTGTTGTGCTGTGGTGTTTTATTGTTAAAGAGCATTAGTTGTGGGTTGTTAATTGTTGTTATAAAGTTATAACCATGACTAGGGGTCCCTCTCAATACACATAAGACAACTAGCTCCGACTGTAGCGCTCTCAGTGGCGAACAATATATTTTGCTGCCTGTTGAGGAGCGACAGCAGTTGTTTCGGCTGTGCACCGGTATGACGGTATATGAAATATTCATATCATACGGGAAATTAAAACCGGTATACCGGTTGAACCGCCCAGCACTATGGTCATGATGCTCCTAAACGCAACTATGAAGCCATGATTGACTCGATTGAGACCAACAGCCATGTGGTAACTCTTGAGGACACTTGGATAATGTTGCAGATATAGATTCCATTGTTTGCTAATTTTTGTAAAAGAAATGATCAAAGAAATTTTTCTTTTTCATTTTTTTATGATTTCTGTTACTATAACTGTGTTATTCTCAGAATCAGAATCAGAAGCGTTTTTAACTCGAGTATGTTGCACATACAAGGAATTTGACCTGGTGGATGGTTCATAACATTAAACAATCAACACAGTGCAAAGAATAGAAAATATTCAAATCTACAGTAAAATATAAAATAAAGTGCACAGAGAAACAGATAACAGTACTCTGCACTAAAGACATGTTCTAGTTCTCTCTACTTCTAGTCATGATGGTTCTGTTTCCAGAGAGGAGCAGGACTTTTATTTTGAAAATCAAGACCACAGAGAGAAAACACCTTGAAACTGCTTTGGGGTTCAGAAGGTTAGGAATTCAAGCAATCATTTTTCAGAACGTACCTTGAAAATCCTCGACGGGGCCTTGCTCGGGATGGGGCGGGGCCTGATGCTCGGGATGGGGCGGGGCCTGATCTCGTTGGGTCAGGGTCTGTCCAGACATTGGTGGACCCCGTTCTCCTCTGACACGGGACAGCTCCTCCTCCAGCTCCTGGATCCTCCTCTTCAGTTTGACACAGTTGGGGCAGAAGGAGGTAGACGGCTCCTCGCCGCTCTGGTTCTCCTCCTCTTTCTCCTCCACCTTCAGTTTCGGTATGTTAAAGCCACCGTCAGACGAGTTTAACCCGAGCGCTGTTGCTTTACACTCACTGTGGAGGGAAGACCGGGACCTGGACTTGCAGGAGTCCTCCAGAGAAGCCTCCAGGACGTCTTTGAAGATGAAGTCGATCTTCTTCCTCTTGGCAGGAGGCTGGCCGTCCGACTCCTCGCTGGATTGTTTACTGGGGCTAGGTTTGCCCTGCAGAACAGACTGCAGGCAGGGAGATTTAAAGTCCTCCTGAACGTTGAAGACTTTCAGCGTCCTGGTATCTGGAACAAAACCGGTTTCTTAGCAGCAACTCAAGACAAGTGGCAACCAGTCTGAAGAATGAAAGCAACAAAACAGCCAACGTCTCTAGCTCACATGTGTCTGGCTCACATGTGTCTGGCTCACATGTGTCTGGCTCACCTGTGTCTGGCTCAC